TCAGTACAGCGAAGGACTGAGTCTCAATACAGCCGCAGCGAAGTACTGAGTCTCAGTAGAGCCGCAGTGAAGCACTGGGTATCAGTACGTCGCAGCGGAGGATTGAGTTTCAGTACAGCGAAGGACCGAGTCTCAATACCGCCGCAGCGAAGGACTGAGTCTCAGTACAGTCGCAGCCAAGGACTCAATCTCAGTACAGCGAAGGACTGAGTCTCAATACAGCCGCAGCGAAGTACTGAGTCTCAGTAGAGCCGCAGTGAAGCACTGGGTATCAGTACGTCGCAGCGGAGGATTGAGTTTCAGTACAGCGAAGGACCGAGTCTCAATACCGCCGCAGCGAAGGACTGAGTCTCAGTACAGTCGCAGCCAAGGACTCAATCTCAGTACAGCGAAGGACTGAGTCTCAATACAGCCGCAGCGAAGTACTGAGTCTCAGTAGAGCCGCAGTGAAGCACTGGGTATCAGTACGTCGCAGCGGAGGATTGAGTTTCAGTACAGCGAAGGACCGAGTCTCAATACCGCCGCAGCGAAGTACTGAGTCTCAGTAGAGTCGCAGCGAAGTACTGAGTCTCAGTAGAGTCGCAGCGAAGGACTGAGTCTCAGTACAGTCGCAGCCAAGGACTCAATCTCAGTACAGCGAAGGACTGAGTCTCAATACAGCCGCAGCGAAGTACTGAGTCTCAGTAGAGCCGCAGTGAAGCACTGGGTATCAGTACGTCGCAGCGGAGGATTGAGTTTCAGTACAGCGAAGGACTGAGTCTCAGTAGAGCCGCAGCGAAGTACTGAGTCTCAGTAGAGTCGCACTGAAGGACTGGATATCAGTACGTCGCAGCGGAGGATTGAGTTTCAGTACAGCGAAGTACTGAGTCTCAGTAGAGTCGCAGCGAAGGACTGAGCTTCAGTACAACCGCAGTGAAGGATTATTCAATTTCACTATATTCATTGAGAATCCCAACACCAGGTGGGAGCAAAACGTTAGATAAACGATTCCGTCGGTGTTATCGCTGAAGAAAGAGGATCAATACTAGACTACGGCCGCTATTAAGTTAAAGTTGATTTGTTGTCGGTTTTTCACAAACTATCCATAATTATTTTTTAATTTATGGTCACCATGTATGCCGCTTCTAATGTAAGTGTTCATTTTTAGAAGACTTCTTCAAAATTGAGTCGCCAATCGAAGCAGAAGTCGAGTCTCGTCATAAACCAATACATACTTATGTGTATCGATAGCAAGTATTTGATTTACGTTTTGATGTTACCGTTTTCTTTTACTTAGTGCAGTTTTATGTTGAGCGAAGTCCGTGCCATATTTTTTTTATTATTATTTACCCTGACGTCTTTTTAGTCACTGAACAAGCAATTTTTTTGTAGTTTATATATATAAATCCCTTATGCGCTTTCGTTTACAGTTTAATTTTTTAGTTGAAAGAGAATATAATGGATATTATATTGTATAGCATTATACTGACTGCTTAAAGTGCCATACAGAAGTTTAAGATGTACGTAATACGTGTAAATTTTGGTTTCAAAACATCGATTTGACTTATTGTACAATACCAAATATAGCTTCTAGATTATCTCATAGGTATATAACATACAAACAATACCAAAAACTTTTAGTTCCTCCTCTATTATAAGGCGAATCCCACATACTAAGTCTTTCAAACGAAACTGAACTAAAAAGTAATTTGAATAACATAATTTTGGTTTAATTTTTTTATCAAAGATATTTCAGTATTTAACTTCTTACTGGTGAAAAATACGTAACAAACTTGTACGAAAGTATCTTTAGTTATCATTCTCAAAATTTATTTTGTGCAATTACGATTGACGCACATATATTTGTGGGATAGTTTTATAATGCAAAAGTTCCAAAAAATGCCTTTATGTTTGAAATAGTACAATAATAAAACTAATATTAAAATGAAAAGGGAACGAATACGCGCAAACCGCTGCAAAAGGTGTTACTTGTCGACAATACATAGCTGATAAATTAATATGATTTCTACAAAAAACAATGAATAAATGGTGCCAGAAGTTACTCATACCATATAAGCATTTGTAGCCCATAAGGTGTTTTTAAGTTACCTTTAATAAGTAAGAGATGTAGCTAGTGAAGAAAGATTAACTACTACTACTATTATTATTATTATTATTGCAACATACTACTACTACCACTACTACTACTACTGTATATTAATCTATTATAACAATTAATAAGTGTATAAATAAGTATGATAACAATTAAAAGGTAAATGCCATTCCAAATTTTCTACCTACACGTAATAAAGTTTCCAGTGTGAAAGCTCTTTGAGATTTGTTGACAATAACGTAGCCATTTTATATATTAAATGAAAGTAAAAAGAAAAAGTATAGTATAAAGAATTATTATTAATTATTAGAAGCGCTAATTAAATAATGTTAATCTGAATAGCATTTATTATTAAACGAAAGCGAGCGAGAAGGTAAATATAAACCCGAACAAAGGTTGGTGACAGTTTTCTCTTTTTTAATACGACTATTACCTATTTTATTTACTATCTATACATTTTATACACCTAATAAATTGCAAAGCTTATAAAACTGACGGTTAAGCTCTCTCTCTCTATCTCACTTTCTCTACTAGGCTTTATGTAACTATACACCCTGTATATAATTATTAATTAATAATGTTCTGTCCCCTTCTTGTCTAATCTGTAGACGGTTACTCTTATAATAACGGTAAATTTAAGGTCCTATAAAGCTCTATTTGAAGTTTCTTGATAAATGTTGTATTTTAGTCTAATTTATGCTACCTACTACTATAAAATTAATTAATTAACTACAATTATGATAATATTCCACTAGTTTTACGAACGAGACGTGCTCGTCTCTATTTTGTGTTACTTTTCATGGCTAGTATAACCAAAGACCTTGTATTATATCCAGCCATACGTTTAAGCTTCTTTTCCATTCTTTCTAACAATAATATATATTTTTTATAGAGATTGTCATGTAAAAATGTTGGTTATAAATGATGTATGTGTAAATTGTATAAGATTGTAGTTAAAAACAATCGAAAGTGTATTTTACCCAATACAGAAATAAATATATGCAAAAAGTTTTAAACAATTGTTTTACTTTGTTTTACGCCGTCACGTAAATATATATCTATTCATTGAAAAGNATAGAGTAACTCACAATCAGTAGAATTAATATTTTAGTAACTATTATAATAAATTATTTGTTTATTGAAAAACAGAACGATATAAGTTCGAGTCCAGATGTAATTAATGCCGAATATCTTCAACATTCGTTCTTTCTATTATATTTATTGTAATTTAGACATCTCTCCATTAAATTAGACTAGAAAAAGAATAATGTTATAAATATGGTTCAGACCAATATTTCATACTTGTACCCTGTTTCTCCGAGACGTTATTTGCCCTAACTTTGGATCTCAACTTGACATCCTTAGGCTTTAGCATGCTTTTATGGTTGCTTATCAGTCTGGATGGAGTAAGGATGGATTTAGAACTGAGTCCAGTGCATTCTAAAAAATGCTCGTAAGTCGGCTCGTGCGACCTGACTACAGGTTTTGGAAAATTTCTGTGCTTATCATTTATCGAATGATTCTTTTTATCAACCTCTAGCTGCTTTTTAAGCTGGTGAATTGCATTGTCGTTTAATTTTGGCACAACTACATTCGACGTTGCTCTCACCAATTCGACTTGAGTAGAATTGTTATTTCCCAAAAGATTATCTGCGGATTTTGATAAAGATTTTTCATCACATTTAGTTGTCATGTCACTGTTGGATTTCGTACTAGATATGTCCGACATCTCCTCTATCTCATATTCCTCTTGTATTTCGCAGTCGTCCAGTTTGAATTCTTCAAAATTTTGACTCAAATCGAACTGGGAAAAATCAAATAGTTCGGGAGGGTCTGATGATGGCTTGCTCCGTTCCTGGATGGATAAATTTTCAAAGCTAGAGAATACTCTTCGAGCAGGTTTTGCTCTTTCAGGTTTAGGTTTTACTTCCGAAAGAATTTGGCGTTTGTTGAAGTCTGCTATTAAACTGGAAACCGAAGAACCAATAACAATGGGCGTTCGGGAATCTTTTTTGGCATTCTTCTGCTTTAATATTTGCGTGTTGTTCTTCACGTAATTATCATGGGTAACACGTTCGTCGTCCTTTTTATTGTCGTTTTCATCTGGTATTATTATTTCGGTCACCTGAGGAAGCTTTGGTATTTCTGGTTCCATCTTTCTTGGTGGACAATTGTTAATTAACTGAGTCTGCTTTGCCACTTGAATATTTGGCTTTTCAAAATTCTTTATTCCTACCAAATTCGGGACGCTCTGACTTAAATGTTTTGCGGTAGTTTTATTGGAAGATGCTACACTGGGGATTTTCTTTGGAGGTACTTTCTCTGTTTGAGATTTAATGGGGGAATTGTTTCTACTACGGGGAGCATTGATTTGGGCAACAACGCTGATGGTTTTTTTCGCCTTTTCCGTTGGTAGATTTATTTCTGATATAGAGCAATAATCCGGTTCGGAATCGAAGCTTTTCTCGCTTCCTTTACTTGACGGGCATTTAGTTGGGGAACCAGTTATTTTATATTTCGACACTAAATTAATTGGTTTAGGAGGTAGCGCTGGGGGTGTTCGAAGAATTTTACTTTTCCTTACAATTTTCTTCTCTGTTTCATCAGTTTCTGACTTGGTGTCCATGTCTATGTAAAAGGGACTGTCCTGGTTGTCGTCCTGTCGAGAAACACCTTTAGACTGAGCAGAACTTTCGTTCGAATCATAGTTATTTAGTAACGAAAATTTTTCCTGTCCAGAGAAGGAGTCACTACACTGACTCAGTATTTGCTCGTAGTCATTACTGTAGATACTTTGTGGTGCTTCATAAACATTTGGGGCCCTCTGGATGGGCGTTTCATAGTAGTTGCTATCGTTTTCTTTAGAAGTTTCATTCATAACGTTATTGTTTTGGTTTTCAGCACCCTCGTCGCTGAATTTTACCCGTTTTCCGCTTTTGTTAAACTTCACGTCCATTTCAGGAGTTTTTGGAGGTGAAATGACTACATCATTGATATTTTGGAGTAATATCTGGTTCATGCATTCCAATACCGGATTGTTTCTGTAAATATCCCTGTGTTCGTCGTCTTCTTGGTCGCTGGCACTCGCATACCATGTGTCGTTTGTTTCACCACCGCCATCGAAGACTGGTATATCTTCACTTATTGCTATTTTAGGACTGTCTCGGGAATCGCTATTTTCCGCCCTTGAAGTTTGAGACGATCCAATTTTTTCGGGTTTATCTGAAGAATTTTGGATCACCGTAACGTTGCAATCAGAGTTGGTGACTGCGGTGAAATCAGAATCCAAACTCTCGCAGCTCTTGTGAATGATTGATTCTTTTTCGTTTACGTTTGATGACGCCGTTCTACATTTTATTTTCTCTTTGATATTATGGTCTCCGTGTTTTAAGTTTTCTTCTACTGAACTTGGACTGTTGGTTTCACTGCGAAGTTTTAGCACCTCGAAATAATTACTGATACTTTTTCTATGGCCTATCTTCTTCGCCCTTCTGCCCAACGAATCTTTGCTGTTCTTATTTTTCAAGTACAAGTTCTTAATTTGGTTTCCTTCACTTTTTACGTATTCGTAATCACGCTCTGAAATACTGGCATAAGTTTCGCTGCTACTGTCCAAGGATCCGATGTTAGAACTCTGATAATCCTGGTAATCAGTGGTCACGTAATCAGAACTGCTGTCGTGGCTTTCGAAATTAGAACTCGGACTGTAATACTGATTGCAGTTTTTGCAATATCGCTCGTTCAGAAGCTTTTTGATGTCACTCTTTTGTTTCTTGATTATTTCGTCTTTCTCTTAGAGAATTTTTTTATTATTTAAAAAAGGTTTATGAGCATGTGGTATAGGCATCTGGCAAAATCAGACATTTAATAAAACGTCGTAGTTTGGAGTAAATGACTTGGAAAGTTAAATTGATGTAACCAAATTCAACCCTCTTAAGTAATAAAAAATTTTTTGTTGTCTATATAGTAATTTCTTGATCAGGCTACTTTCTACATATTTAAAAATTTCCAGTCGTTTTATAAAAAAATATTGATTATGCAAGACTTATTGCAAAAAAATACTTAAATACTTGTCATTTACAGCAAGCCTAGTCGTTTTATGAAATGCCTAATTCTGGTATATGCGTACGACACATCATGCATTTCAAGTACATTCCACTTTGGATAATGACCAAATTTAGTTTGTATTGGAAAGGGTCGAAACCTGATTTTCTCTCTTAAATGTCATCTGTTTGGTAGCATCACAACATTTTATTAGATACCAAATACAATTAAGTTCGTATTTTATACATTAATATTTTTAATTGTTTTCTATTCTGTTTGAGAGATTTTTTTATTTTAGATTCGATTTTAGTGATCGGTTATTATTATATTTTTTACATTCATAGGTTTATTTGGCGACGAATTGATTTCGAAACGATTTCTCTTTTCTGTTATATGTATATTTTGTTTGGTACCTGTAGAACAATACTCATTTAAGCGAATGGTAAAAAAAAATTAGGTATATATAGTGCCAAATAGAATCAGCTGTCTTCCTATAGTTGCAGTGGTACCCACGGCAGGCAAGGACATTAACGCAATTAATTGGTAAAATTTGTAAAGTGCAATGTTTAGTTTGCAATTTTAGTATTGGCTCCTCATCATAAAACTGAACTTACATTATTGAATTATATGATTACTCCATCGGGTAATAAATAATATGTTTTATAACACGATTAACAAATTATAAATTCAATCAAAGGAACAGTACCCTCAGAAGAATTTTCGAAAAATGAACAAAAGCTAAAATTCTTTCAATTGTCTTCACAGTTTATTTCGCCAGTTAAAAAATGATTGTAAATCTACACCTAAAAATTTTTCATACTAAAAATTTACTAACGAAAATTTTCGATTATTTGATCATAAATACAGATATTAATTTAATAACACAAAACTGTAGTAAAACTAATACTGCTAATAAAATATTAACTATAATCCTTGCTATTTAAAAAGCTAAGGTTTTCACCACCGGCGTTATCTAAATTGTGGTCTATAGTCGGGATGGATGGTCGTGGACTACGACTGTTTCTTCACCTTCGGTTAAAACACCGATAATGTCGTTTATCCAACGTCTTGCTACAGCGAAGGACCGAGTCTCAATACCGCCGCAGCGAAGTACTGAGTCTCAGTAGAGTCGCAGCGAAGGACTGAGTCTCAGTACAGTCGCAGCTAAGGACTCAATCTCAGTACAGCGAAGGACTGAGTCTCAATACAGCCGCAGCGAAGTACTGAGTCTCAGTAGAGCCGCAGTGAAGCACTGGGTATCAGTACGTCGCAGCGGAGGATTGAGTTTCAGTACAGCGAAGGACCGAGTCTCAATACCGCCGCAGCGAAGGACTGAGACTCAGTACAGTCGCAGCCAAGGACTCAATCTCAGTACAGCGAAGGACTGAGTCTCAATACAGCCGCAGCGAAGTACTGAGTCTCAGTAGAGCCGCAGTGAAGCACTGGGTATCAGTACGTCGCAGCGGAGGATTGAGTTTCAGTACAGCGAAGGACCGAGTCTCAATACCGCCGCAGCGAAGTACTGAGTCTCAGTAGAGTCGCAGCGAAGTACTGAGTCTCAGTAGAGTCGCAGCGAAGGACTGAGTCTCAGTACAGTCGCAGCCAAGGACTCAATCTCAGTACAGCGAAGGACTGAGTCTCAATACAGCCGCAGCGAAGTACTGAGTCTCAGTAGAGCCGCAGTGAAGCACTGGGTATCAGTACGTCGCAGCGGAGGATTGAGTTTCAGTACAGCGAAGGACCGAGTCTCAATACCGCCGCAGCGAAGGACTGAGACTCAGTACAGTCGCAGCCAAGGACTCAATCTCAGTACAGCGAAGGACTGAGTCTCAATACAGCCGCAGCGAAGTACTGAGTCTCAGTAGAGCCGCAGTGAAGCACTGGGTATCAGTACGTCGCAGCGGAGGATTGAGTTTCAGTACAGCGAAGGACCGAGTCTCAATACCGCCGCAGCGAAGTACTGAGACTCAGTAGAGTCGCAGCGAAGTACTGAGTCTCAGTAGAGTCGCAGCGAAGGACTGAGTCTCAGTACAGTCGCAGCCAAGGACTCAATCTCAGTACAGCGAAGGACTGAGTCTCAATACAGCCGCAGCGAAGTACTGAGTCTCAGTAGAGCCGCAGTGAAGCACTGGGTATCAGTACGTCGCAGCGGAGGATTGAGTTTCAGTACAGCGAAGGACCGAGTCTCAATACCGCCGCAGCGAAGGACTGAGACTCAGTACAGTCGCAGCCAAGGACTCAATCTCAGTACAGCGAAGGACTGAGTCTCAATACAGCCGCAGCGAAGTACTGAGTCTCAGTAGAGCCGCAGTGAAGCACTGGGTATCAGTACGTCGCAGCGGAGGATTGAGTTTCAGTACAGCGAAGGACCGAGTCTCAATACCGCCGCAGCGAAGTACTGAGACTCAGTAGAGTCGCAGCGAAGTACTGAGTCTCAGTAGAGTCGCAGCGAAGGACTGAGTCTCAGTACAGTCGCAGCCAAGGACTCAATCTCAGTACAGCGAAGGACTGAGTCTCAATACAGCCGCAGCGAAGTACTGAGTCTCAGTAGAGCCGCAGTGAAGCACTGGGTATCAGTACGTCGCAGCGGAGGATTGAGTTTCAGTACAGCGAAGGACCGAGTCTCAATACCGCCGCAGCGAAGGACTGAGACTCAGTACAGTCGCAGCCAAGGACTCAATCTCAGTACAGCGAAGGACTGAGTCTCAATACAGCCGCAGCGAAGTACTGAGTCTCAGTAGAGCCGCAGTGAAGCACTGGGTATCAGTACGTCGCAGCGGAGGATTGAGTTTCAGTACAGCGAAGGACCGAGTCTCAATACCGCCGCAGCGAAGTACTGAGACTCAGTAGAGTCGCAGCGAAGTACTGAGTCTCAGTAGAGTCGCAGCGAAGGACTGAGTCTCAGTACAGTCGCAGCCAAGGACTCAATCTCAGTACAGCGAAGGACTGAGTCTCAATACAGCCGCAGCGAAGTACTGAGTCTCAGTAGAGCCGCAGTGAAGCACTGGGTATCAGTACGTCGCAGCGGAGGATTGAGTTTCAGTACAGCGAAGGACCGAGTCTCAATACCGCCGCAGCGAAGGACTGAGACTCAGTACAGTCGCAGCCAAGGACTCAATCTCAGTACAGCGAAGGACTGAGTCTCAATACAGCCGCAGCGAAGTACTGAGTCTCAGTAGAGCCGCAGTGAAGCACTGGGTATCAGTACGTCGCAGCGGAGGATTGAGTTTCAGTACAGCGAAGGACCGAGTCTCAATACCGCCGCAGCGAAGTACTGAGACTCAGTAGAGTCGCAGCGAAGTACTGAGTCTCAGTAGAGTCGCAGCGAAGGACTGAGTCTCAGTACAGTCGCAGCCAAGGACTCAATCTCAGTACAGCGAAGGACTGAGTCTCAATACAGCCGCAGCGAAGTACTGAGTCTCAGTAGAGCCGCAGTGAAGCACTGGGTATCAGTACGTCGCAGCGGAGGATTGAGTTTCAGTACAGCGAAGGACCGAGTCTCAATACCGCCGCAGCGAAGGACTGAGACTCAGTACAGTCGCAGCCAAGGACTCAATCTCAGTACAGCGAAGGACTGAGTCTCAATACAGCCGCAGCGAAGTACTGAGTCTCAGTAGAGCCGCAGTGAAGCACTGGGTATCAGTACGTCGCAGCGGAGGATTGAGTTTCAGTACAGCGAAGGACCGAGTCTCAATACCGCCGCAGCGAAGTACTGAGACTCAGTAGAGTCGCAGCGAAGTACTGAGTCTCAGTAGAGTCGCAGCGAAGGACTGAGTCTCAGTACAGTCGCAGCCAAGGACTCAATCTCAGTACAGCGAAGGACTGAGTCTCAATACAGCCGCAGCGAAGTACTGAGTCTCAGTAGAGCCGCAGTGAAGCACTGGGTATCAGTACGTCGCAGCGGAGGATTGAGTTTCAGTACAGCGAAGGACCGAGTCTCAATACCGCCGCAGCGAAGGACTGAGACTCAGTACAGTCGCAGCCAAGGACTCAATCTCAGTACAGCGAAGGACTGAGTCTCAATACAGCCGCAGCGAAGTACTGAGTCTCAGTAGAGCCGCAGTGAAGCACTGGGTATCAGTACGTCGCAGCGGAGGATTGAGTTTCAGTACAGCGAAGGACCGAGTNTATATTTTTTATAGAGATTGTCATGTAAAAATGTTGGTTATAAATGATGTATGTGTAAATTGTATAAGATTGTAGTTAAAAACAATCGAAAGTGTATTTTACCCAATACAGAAATAAATATATGCAAAAAGTTTTAAACAATTGTTTTACTTTGTTTTACGCCGTCACGTAAATATATATCTATTCATTGAAAAGACGAAAACCTTCGCAAGGACACCCTGTATATGTCATCCCAAACAATTTAAAATTGTTTATTTTTTATACCTTATTATGTAGTGCTATGTAGTACTACAATTGCTAAATTTTATTGGAAACCGCATTAAAATCGTAATGATGATGATAATTGTAATTATTATTATAAACACACCTTAATATCCCATTTATTAGTGTATCGCCACCTGACTTCTTATCGGCTACAAGACAACCAGAGGATAGAACCGGACGCTTCAAGCGTAGCACTCGAAGTGAGAATGTTACCTTGTTACTGCAGCATCTCCAATTTCCTACGATTAACGATAAGTAGTACCTGAAGATTATTGCGCTACAAAGACTTAATACTACATTTTATTTAAAATAATTAAACTCCACTGATTCATTTAAATAAAGTCCACATAATTGTATAAAATTTGTTGTATGTATTTGTTAATTATAATGTAATAGGTGCTACCCAAACAAAATTTTTTAAATTAAAGCAGTCTAATTGATTTTAGTGGTTCAAATATTACTTCATTTATACTTTGTTAAAAAAACAAATTTACACATTCAATACCTTTTTAATGGATTGTTTAATAACTTTGCGCAATATAAAAATATTAAAAAAGTATGCATTAGAGGTTAATTAAAAAGAAAAATAAGGTAATATTTCAAACGTTCTTATAAAAGAAATAGTTTATATAAATTTCCTGAATAAGTAGTATATATTAATTAATCAGAATTACATTTTTGCTTAGTTTTCACAATAAATTCACTTAAGCATTCCGTGGCGACATCTAAAGGCAATCTTTCGAAAATAGTACCAAATATGAATGAAAGTTGCCCAATATTACAGAAGACTGTCGTTAGATGTCACTAAGACTAACTAAATTCAAATTTAAATTTTTAAAAGATAAGAACTTATTAATAAATACTTTAATAACAAATAAAACTTGTTCGTTACTTGTATTTCTTTGTCTAATTGCTTAATAAAGCTTCTTTTGTAGTATTAATTGAAAATTTATACATTAATGCATTAGAGGAATGGAAAAAAAAGAAATAAATTTATATGTTGTACTATCATTTATTGTGGCTATTTTATATAAATAAATATCAGTTATTACTGACAAAAACTTTAAAAACTAGCTCAACACTCAAATAGTCTAACAAATAACAAAATCAGATCAAAAAACAAAAAATTATACATTATCAAATAAATTACTACCAAACTACATTAAGAAATAAGAGAATATTAATTTAATTAGGTGGAAATGTACATAAGGTAATTTGTTTATAAAACAATTTATATATTTATCAAATATTTAGAAACTCACACAAATACAATATATATATAAATATTTATAGAGTAACTCACAATCAGTAGAATTAATATTTTAGTAACTATTATAATAAATTATTTGTTTATTGAAAAACAGAACGATATAAGTTCGAGTCCAGATGTAATTAATGCCGAATATCTTCAACATTCGTTCTTTCTATTATATTTATTGTAATTTAGACATCTCTCCATTAAATTAGACTAGAAAAAGAATAATGTTATAAATATGGTTCAGACCAATATTTCATACTTGTACCCTGTTTCTCCGAGACGTTATTTGCCCTAACTTTGGATCTCAACTTGACATCCTTAGGCTTTAGCATGCTTTTATGGTTGCTTATCAGTCTGGATGGAGTAAGGATGGATTTAGAACTGAGTCCAGTGCATTCTAAAAAATGCTCGTAAGTCGGCTCGTGCGACCTGACTACAGGTTTTGGAAAATTTCTGTGCTTATCATTTATCGAATGATTCTTTTTATCAACCTCTAGCTGCTTTTTAAGCTGGTGAATTGCATTGTCGTTTAATTTTGGCACAACTACATTCGACGTTGCTCTCACCAATTCGACTTGAGTAGAATTGTTATTTCCCAAAAGATTATCTGCGGATTTTGATAAAGATTTTTCATCACATTTAGTTGTCATGTCACTGTTGGATTTCGTACTAGATATGTCCGACATCTCCTCTATCTCATATTCCTCTTGTATTTCGCAGTCGTCCAGTTTGAATTCTTCAAAATTTTGACTCAAATCGAACTGGGAAAAATCAAATAGTTCGGGAGGGTCTGATGATGGCTTGCTCCGTTCCTGGATGGATAAATTTTCAAAGCTAGAGAATACTCTTCGAGCAGGTTTTGCTCTTTCAGGTTTAGGTTTTACTTCCGAAAGAATTTGGCGTTTGTTGAAGTCTGCTATTAAACTGGAAACCGAAGAACCAATAACAATGGGCGTTCGGGAATCTTTTTTGGCATTCTTCTGCTTTAATATTTGCGTGTTGTTCTTCACGTAATTATCATGGGTAACACGTTCGTCGTCCTTTTTATTGTCGTTTTCATCTGGTATTATTATTTCGGTCACCTGAGGAAGCTTTGGTATTTCTGGTTCCATCTTTCTTGGTGGACAATTGTTAATTAACTGAGTCTGCTTTGCCACTTGAATATTTGGCTTTTCAAAATTCTTTATTCCTACCAAATTCGGGACGCTCTGACTTAAATGTTTTGCGGTAGTTTTATTGGAAGATGCTACACTGGGGATTTTCTTTGGAGGTACTTTCTCTGTTTGAGATTTAATGGGGGAATTGTTTCTACTACGGGGAGCATTGATTTGGGCAACAACGCTGATGGTTTTTTTCGCCTTTTCCGTTGGTAGATTTATTTCTGATATAGAGCAATAATCCGGTTCGGAATCGAAGCTTTTCTCGCTTCCTTTACTTGACGGGCATTTAGTTGGGGAACCAGTTATTTTATATTTCGACACTAAATTAATTGGTTTAGGAGGTAGCGCTGGGGGTGTTCGAAGAATTTTACTTTTCCTTACAATTTTCTTCTCTGTTTCATCAGTTTCTGACTTGGTGTCCATGTCTATGTAAAAGGGACTGTCCTGGTTGTCGTCCTGTCGAGAAACACCTTTAGACTGAGCAGAACTTTCGTTCGAATCATAGTTATTTAGTAACGAAAATTTTTCCTGTCCAGAGAAGGAGTCACTACACTGACTCAGTATTTGCTCGTAGTCATTACTGTAGATACTTTGTGGTGCTTCATAAACATTTGGGGCCCTCTGGATGGGCGTTTCATAGTAGTTGCTATCGTTTTCTTTAGAAGTTTCATTCATAACGTTATTGTTTTGGTTTTCAGCACCCTCGTCGCTGAATTTTACCCGTTTTCCGCTTTTGTTAAACTTCACGTCCATTTCAGGAGTTTTTGGAGGTGAAATGACTACATCATTGATATTTTGGAGTAATATCTGGTTCATGCATTCCAATACCGGATTGTTTCTGTAAATATCCCTGTGTTCGTCGTCTTCTTGGTCGCTGGCACTCGCATACCATGTGTCGTTTGTTTCACCACCGCCATCGAAGACTGGTATATCTTCACTTATTGCTATTTTAGGACTGTCTCGGGAATCGCTATTTTCCGCCCTTGAAGTTTGAGACGATCCAATTTTTTCGGGTTTATCTGAAGAATTTTGGATCACCGTAACGTTGCAATCAGAGTTGGTGACTGCGGTGAAATCAGAATCCAAACTCTCGCAGCTCTTGTGAATGATTGATTCTTTTTCGTTTACGTTTGATGACGCCGTTCTACATTTTATTTTCTCTTTGATATTATGGTCTCCGTGTTTTAAGTTTTCTTCTACTGAACTTGGACTGTTGGTTTCACTGCGAAGTTTTAGCACCTCGAAATAATTACTGATACTTTTTCTATGGCCTATCTTCTTCGCCCTTCTGCCCAACGAATCTTTGCTGTTCTTATTTTTCAAGTACAAGTTCTTAATTTGGTTTCCTTCACTTTTTACGTATTCGTAATCACGCTCTGAAATACTGGCATAAGTTTCGCTGCTACTGTCCAAGGATCCGATGTTAGAACTCTGATAATCCTGGTAATCAGTGGTCACGTAATCAGAACTGCTGTCGTGGCTTTCGAAATTAGAACTCGGACTGTAATACTGATTGCAGTTTTTGCAATATCGCTCGTTCAGAAGCTTTTTGATGTCACTCTTTTGTTTCTTGATTATTTCGTCTTTCTCTTTGAGCTGAAAGCTGATGAACTTTTGCTCTTGGCGTAACCTTGCCTCGAAAACTAAGAGTGCTCTTAATACTTTCGCCAGCTGGTCATCCCTCAATTTACGTTCGGACTGGTATTCTTGCTCTTTGATTTGGAGTTTTCTGGTATATTCGGCCACCAGCTGTCTACACCTTTTGGTTTGCAGCTTCAGTGCCCTTTGGAGTATCTCCAATTCGCCTCGTTTCAACTCCGCCTCGCTTAGTGCCATCTGTAACAAACACGAGGGGTGGTTAACAAAAGCAAATTGTAAAATCTTGTTCGTTAAACAAAAATTGAAATACATATAGAAATTTTGCCTTTAGTTTTAATTTTCACACATGGACTATTTTTACATTTCTTGTCTGTATGTGGGAAGTAGAGTTTGACTAGGTCACAAACAGAAAGGTGCATGGTACATGTGTCTAATCATCAAAAAATTACTTTTAAATTGACTGCTTGCTTTATTGATTATCGTGATAGTTCTCTGGGTAATTTGTCTTACAATTTTATGAACATTTCTAATTTGTTGGTAAAAGGTTTTACTTTTTGGGCTTTTGGGAAAAAACCAGAAATTAAAACAGGAATTTAGATAGAACCCTTCTGAGAAAGCCACGATGAAAAATCTAAATAGGAAAGCAATAAGAAAACAATTGCAATATAATCCATAATATCGATGAGATATGCAAAAGAATGTGAAGAATAAAATTCTTGATGGGTCTGACATACGACCACGCGACGAGAGTGAAAGAGTCGTCTGTCGGTCCATATTATGGCTCGCTCCATTAGAATCCTTTTTCCGATGAAGACGAAGGAGGAAGGATGATAAGTAGAAGTAGAAGAAAAGGAAGAAGGGGGAAAATAGGTATGCATTAGGTATAAGAAAGAAGAAGTTGAAGGCCTTGGGGGCCCGATCGGTAATTGTATATGTTTTTGCGGCGCGTGTGGTATGCACGTTGTGGCTGCTGCACGATCTCAACACAACAACACTATAACAGAGAGGACATGCCTACTTTGCCAGCTGACCAAGAATGCGGTCAGTGCTCTGTATGTCTACATCAAGAAAGAAACAGGAAGGCATATCGGTACTTATACGTAAATACGTATATAAACCACTAACTACAACTACCTTTGCATCTACAGTACAATATAACAAATAAAAACAATAATTATGCATGTTTATTGCTATTCCGAAACTTAAACCGCATACCATGATGCGAATGATGATGAGGATGCCGTGGATAGAAAAGGTTAGAAATGAAGAGGTATTAGAAAGAATAGGAGAACAGAAGAAATAGGCGAGATAGGTTGGTAGGACACCTTCTCAGGCATGAAGGTCTAGTAGTCAATGACATATTACAGGCAGAAACAGAGGAGTTAAGAAGAGTAGAGGTAGACCTAGATTAGATTACTGTTCGCAAATAGTTAAGGATGTGGGATGTTCCAGTTTTAAGGAAATGCAAAGATTAGTTCAGGGTAGGAAAGAGTGGAGGAGCGCGTCCAACCAATCTTATGACGACTGACGATCTTATAATGATGAACAAAGAACCTACCTAATAAAAGTTGGTAATTAAGATTGTATTGTGATAAGTCGTTTGCCCTAATTTGTATTTTTTATTGATTACTGGTCTGGTTGAAAACCCGGGACTTAATCATTGGTTGGGGACGTTGGTAAGGGTGGTATTGAATTAATAGAAAGCTTCCCCAGAACGGAGGCATCGTATAGTGACTTTGCCGGTTACCTATTATCGACTTATTATAATAATATACAGTGGAATCGATAAATAATTTATAATCAAAACTTGCCTCTTTTCTGTTATTAAAAAACAAATGTTGAGTAAAATTACACCAAAATAGGTACAGTTTGAGATATATGTTACATGAAAGCTAACAAAATGTATTCTTATAATCCCGTATGATTTAGATTATTGAAAAGTTGAAAGAAAAATTCGCGTGAAATTCTAAGCTCTTTTTGAGTAAGACGCCTGTGACAAACAGACCGTCGGACTAGTGACTAACTTCTAAAATTAGATGCAAATATATATATTCTAAACATATACCAAATTTCAGCTTAATAGCTTGGATAGTTTCTTAATTATAAGATGACTACTAAACATGTCGCGCGGGTTTCTCGCTTAACGCACTATTGAAGTCTCCAATGAAAAAGGCGTTAATTGGCTAAACTGATGATTTTTTGGAAGCTTTTTCGCTGGAAATCAATAATGTCACTATTTCTTTACCTGTACGTTTCACTTTGAACACATTTTTCAGCAACATTATTGCAAAATACTTAAAATATTATGAAGGTTACATACACACGACAGTTAAATATTAAAAAATATTTCGTAAGCACGCTTCGCAAAGGATACACTTGACTATTATGGATATTTGAAAGATTTCACGATAATTATTATCAATTCATTAGGTGTCTTAGTAAAATATCTAGGCTGTATTAAAAAAAAATATATTAAGTGTAATTTCGCCAGTAATTAAAGATTGTACTTATTGAAAATAAGTGTATCTATAAATATTTAGTATGTATGGTAATTGTGTGATAAATATGTTTACCAATAACGGTAGAAAATAAAGAAACCATTGTAACATGTATTAAACACAAACCTAAAGTCCTTAACAAGTAAAAGTAAAACAGTTATCATTCTAATCGTAAATTATAAACTCAAGCATAGAACAGCTGTTAGGCAAATAAGTACATAATAATTAGAATTATGTATATGCACCATAAAATGTACATAAAATAGTTTTGCAATCAAAAATTATTATTGGACTACATTTCTGAGCGTGTTTCACAATGAAAAACTAGAACAATTGCTATTAGAACTACACGTATGGACGAACATTCTTACGTACAAATATATATGTAGCAGACATACGTAGCTGTCTTGATTACAAAACACGCATTTTAATCTACCTACATGTAAGTTCGTTATACATAAGGAACTAATTAAAACTAAAATAACGGTGTGAGCGAAATACACAACGAAATAGTTTTCTTCGGGACCTTCAAGCGCAACAGTTATTGCAAACACGAGTGTCTTGAGAAAATAAATTTAATTCATGGAGTTTTCCAAAACAAATAACAAAAAGAACAGATACAATTTATGTAGTAACAAAATTTTCTATAATTAGCTAGAAATAGTGTGATAAATAGTATAAAATTTTGAGGTTTATATCGTCCAAACCGTGAAATCATTTGAAAACACATTAAAGAACATATGAAAGTTACCAAACACAATTGCAACAACCAAACAAACAGAAGTTGTATAATTTTACACCTTAAAGTACTAAACGAAGATTCTTTTAAATTAAGTATGTACGTGCATACATATATATTTATACTGTACATGTACTTATACCTAACGTAACAAATTGACACAGTTAGTTTTTCGTCCATGAAATCAACTTCTAATCAATCAGAACAGACCATTAGCTCCGGATAATTTATTCTCATTTACCTACAAATTACATTGTCCATGAATTCTCTTGACCACTGTTAACGCAATGTTTTCCTTTTGTTATTAATTAAGGAAACTAATTGTTCAAGACTTAATAACAGTCGCGGTCGTGTTTTCCTAATGCAATTAAACACTTGCTAATTCCTACCTAATTAAACATTTCTAACCGGAATAATCAAATGATAATAAAAATAATTATTTTACCATATAATAAAATATACAATAATAATAAATATAAAACAAAAACAGTAACATGTAGGGGAGGCTACGTTAGGATTATAGATCTAATGTAAAAAAAAACTAGAAGAAATAACCGATTTTCGATATCTAAGAAATTAGATAAGTTATCAAAGATTTGGGCTTTAATATTACCGAAAATGGACACATAAATGAACAAAATAAATTCATCACTCTGTATACCACTAAAAGAATAATTTTTCACTGCTTAGATTGCTGTAATTCCACGGCATCGGCGACGCCGCAGCACGGGACGGCGCTCGGCGCCGAGAATGGAATTCCGTTTCAAAATGCAGCCGAAGGAAGGTACACAAGCCGATGCTGTCACGCAATCTCTATTCGACCTTACAGAAATCCAAGGAATGCTGTTCTGCTTAATAACCTATTAGACTTTTCTATTTTTTTTTTTAAGACGCGATCTCTACCTTTATCCAAGCGACTGGCCCACGACCACTACACGTACGTACATTATAAAGCGTCAGATGGACTAACACCCGTCTCTCTTTTACCAATTTGAACTCGCCAAACAATGCACAACTTGCAACATCAACACGAGGACGCCCCACAGTAAATCATTCTAGTAAACGATGACTTTTGTCCTTTAAAATTCCACTGGGAACTACTCAAATACAAAAGCTTTTGAAAAATACATTACAATTGGAAATCAGTAGATAATCACTTTTATATTTGGATTAGTGTAGTAGTAATGTAAAGCATTATATGTAATAGGATTATAATAACAAAAAATTATTATATCTTGATACTATCATGGATCTGATATCATTTTCGCTATTATTCTTATATTCCACCCATAAAGTCATTATATTCAGAGAAAGAAGAATGTTTGAACTATAAAGAGATCATTATAGACACTACCAAGAGATATTTATTGATAAAATGATCAATAAAAATCATTACATTACAGGTTGCAGGAGAAATATTTGTATTATCCATAATTATTCAAACCCTACCTACTTTATGCTCTGATATCATTTTAGTTATAGGAATCATTATAAATATTTTCAAAACAGTCATAATCAATAATAACTTCTTCCCTCATATTTCATTATTTTACCCTTCGGAATCATTATAAGACATCAGTTAGAGATACATTACCCTAACAGATAATTAATATTGAAGGATATTGTTTATCCACACAGATACAAAAACTACATGTATTATGTTCTGGAATTATTACACTCATTAATAGGAGCATGATATTTCACCCACAAAAATAATTATACATGAACCCAAAAGCAAAATAGTTTACCCTTTGAAATCATTATAGACATCGGTTGAAGATACAGTAGCATCAACAGTATATTTAAAGAAGTAAGTAATCATCTTATCCTTTTTTTACCCTGGCATTATTTTATTAGTAATTAGCAAGAAAAAGTGAAGAGCTAGAGATGTTACATGGCTTCTTGGCTTCTTTTTCAAGATCCAGAAAGTAAACTGTCTCGTACGCTAATTGGTCTGTAATTATTCATCCGATAAGAAATGATTTCAATTAAATTTTCGT